CAGATACACGGCACTTCGTTCGGCAACAAAGCTATGGCGAATTTTCTCCCTTCGGCGCACGTCGGCTATGGAGCCCACTGGCGTGCGTCTCCTTCCTGGCGGCAACAACGATGGCGCCTGGGGTAACGAGAACCAGCTCTGATACCAATGCAATCAGACTCACTTTTCTCTCCACTTCGCATGCATGCAAACAGATGGCGATTCACACTGGCGCACGACGCCCACACCAAGCTCAGAGATATGGCAACCGAGAACACAGTTCAGATGTAAACTCGCTGCAACAGACTATGGCGCATCTGCGCCTATACATCACAACTCTCATCACTGTGTCCAACACCACTGTTCACCCGCACTCAACTCTGGATCACCCTGAATACACCCACGCACACTCACTCGTACACGCTCACTAACCTTTAACACTACAGCGGCTATGGCCGCTCTACTTCTACTAACTCTGACCACGTTCTCTCTCTTCAGCCCACTTCGTCTTCGGGGAACCTGCAGACCACCTTTGCACAAGATGCTGTAGCAGCACTTCCGCATGGCTTCCGCAGCGAATGAATGAATGGCTGGGCGCTGCCTCTTGATTTATACTTCTGTAACTCGTTGGTCTGCCCCTTTCCACTGGGCCCATGGTGCACACAGTCCCCCATGGTACTTGCTTGACTGGGTTGTGACTGACTGGACCGGTACCGCTGACTGCACGGGATTGCACTGCGGACTCGATGCAGTCGTACTGCTGACTCAGTGCTATTGAGCTCACCACTTGCCCACTTGCCTCTGACTAAACGTGAGACAACTTCGAAAGGCCACTTCCGGACCTTCCGGAAGTCTGTGGACTTGGCCTTTCGAGTACTATAGCATCTACGACCTTGACCTTTCAGGACTGTAGCAGCTACGACCTTGACCTTTCAGAACATCCATAGCTACGACCTCTACAAAGCTGTGACCCCTATTCGATAGACCTACAGATCGAACCCCTACATCTACACAGACCTACGACAGACAAACAACAACTGTTATACCGCGTCAAACGCGGGGACGCAGCCATTCGGGTAGCATGCTTTATGTTCTAGTCAGTAAGCTTGGCAAAGGTCTTATGAAGTGGGGGATGGGCAGCCTTCTGGATGGTAGTGTCCAAAGCCAACGCTCTCCCACACAGCACACGCAACCCACTCACACGCGCACTCACACCCGTGTTGGTTGAAGACCTTACTGATACGGACTGGGAGGATCCAGCTCACTATCTCAGTTGGATGGCACCAAGAGTGCCAAAGGAGGCCGTGGGGATTGAACGCACAACCTCCTGAAAGCCACTTGCGTGCCTAACCAATTGAGCTAGGACGCTGGATGGAGCTCAGATTCTTCTATCGCAGGAGGAAAAAAAAAAACAAAAAAAACACTGAAAAACGAATAGCAAGCTACTGAGGGCTGTACCACCCCACACGCGGCCAGGAAAAAGGGCATTTCAAACTCTAAACTACCAGCAGTGTATTTACCTTTGCTCTACTGGAAGATTCATGCTCATGTTGCACATTTGGTCCGTAGTGGAGCAACACCGTCGATCTCAACAGCTCTCGGGGGAAAGGTAAGTGCAATTTTCCTTCTTTTTTTTCTGAAAGTTTCTTTTCTTTTCTTAGTAAGCCCTGCCAACGAGGCAGGGAAGTCCGTTCTATTTCGTTACTTGGGCATAGTAAACAGCAGAATGCTTTGATACTGTATTTCTGGGAAGATGCAGTAGAAGAGGAAAAAAACAGAAGGGGAATCGACCCAGACCCAAATCGCCCGCCCACACCTATATATCCCGCCCCCAGTTTGCAACGGGAAAAAACTCTATCCCTCAAAAGGGAAACAATGGATGACGCCCTATACTAAATTGCAACGACCTTGACAAGCTAACCTTCCCTACGACCGGTCTTAGGGACGACTGCGACCGGACCCTATTTTCTGCTGTCGGAGACCCCAAACGAACCCGTCCTAGCGAAGTTGTACTGCACGACCTTACCGAAAATAGAAAGAAATCAAACGACGAAAATGAAACCCACACAAGCACAGCCTCCTGGCTGCGAACTATCGAAACACAGGTCATGGGTTCAAACACTCGGGGGTCAACTCGATACTGTACATGGGCAAGGTAGGGTCTGGGGATCGAACTCTAGTGCCCACATCTGTGACTGCAAAAAGGTGAAACCGTTTCAAACCTCTGCTAGAGGGGGTGGTCACTTGCAGAGATGATAAGAGCATGCTCTGTAAGCCGTCCCTCACTAAGGGGGGGTTGTCGCTTATAGAGGGGTGTTGGAGGGCTCCACCTATTAGTGGGGAGCTATTGCTCACTTGAAGAATGAACTGGAGTGTACTGCTCTGCTCACTACACCAGCTCATATCCTTCGGTTGCCCGGCCTCCAGTACCTCCTGGCCATGCACTACCCAGCAATACCCGGCCTCCCTTTGGGTGCACTTTGGGTGCACTAGGGCATGGACATTGCAGTTTGGTGGGTTGCCTGTGTTTCCCTCCCACCCACCCCCTTTCCTGTTTTCTCGGCTTGGTAAGTGCCACGTCAGCAGTACCATCCCAGCAGACTATGTCAGCAGTGCCACGTCAGCATCAGGGCCACGTCAGCAGTACCGCGTCATCAACACCGTACAGCTAACTGCAGCTTATGCTCCGACGCAGCAACCGCATCGCCGCATGTGACGGGCGGGCAGCAGCAGCAGAACAGCAGCTACCTCTGCCCCACCCCTCTGAGATGGACAACCCCATGGTGGACAATGCCGCATCCGGCAGTCCACGCGAGGCATGCAGCTCGAACCCCCCGGCCCCACAGGCCCAGCAGGAGGGTTCCACTGCAACTTCTATGGGAACCCTCGACGCTGCACCAGTCCAGCAGCAAGGAGAGACCATGACGGCCTTCCTGGCCCGCCTGGGCACTTACATGCAACAAGTCCAAGAGGAACAGCAACATGAGGCGGCAGCCGAAGAGGCACGTCTCAATGCCATTGCACACGCAGAAGAGCAACGACGCCGGCAGCAAGCGGACGCAGCTGCCAATCATAACAAAGCTCGACGAGATGCCGCATCTGTCCTCATGCAGCAGGAAGCCGCTCATATCGCCACACTCCAAGCTTGGAATGTTGATCCGGCGGCAGTTACGGAACCAACTACGGAGGAACAGACCAAGTCAGCCCTCGCCAACATGATGTACCAAGTCATCCTCACTTGTAATTGGCAACAAGTGGAGCTGGCTCGACAGGCGTGTACCATTACGGAGTATGAGGAGACTCTCAAGAGCCTCCACGCCCGCCTTGACATGGTGGAGAAGGATGACGTGTCGCACAGGCACACGACATCATCAAGCATTGATCCACCGATCCGCGAGCTGGAAGAACGACTGGATCGTCTAGTCGCATTTGTCGGAAATTTGAACAGTTTCCGACAACCGACGACATCAGCTAGCAAATATCCGCTTTACAAGCGGATCTGCGTCAACTGCAGCAGCAACCAACTGGGACCTGCAACAACGTGACGCCGAAAGAATTCAAGATGTCGTCGAGAGGTTTGATGACTTGTAGACTACCACAAGGCGGACCCCATCAATTGGTGGCAAGGGTTCACCAATGAGCTCTCCATCCACCTGGTCTCGCCCGAGTCGAAGATCTCAGCACTTTACCTCTGCAGCACCGGTGCCAGCCAAGTGTGGCTCAACCACCTGGCTCAAACCGAAGGCGTCGAAGTCTCTAAGCTTCACACCAAGATCACTTGGGAGGCCATGACTGAGAAGTGGCGGAAACGCTTCATCGTCGACGACGCTCAGGGCAAAGGCGTGAACCAGATTTTCAGCATGCATCAAGGCAGCCAGCCAACACGCGAATGGCTAACCGAGTGGCAGAAAATCGTGACGATTTCGAATTTGGACATACCGTTCGTTCATCTTCGTCGTGAATTCTTCCTGCGGTCGGTTGACGCGTTGAGCACGACCCTTGGGGAGCGCAGCTTGTACACGGACTTTGACCAGATCGTGGAGAAGGCGCGCGAAGTCATCCAAACCAATCGGTGGGCAGCCAACGAGCGGCGAAGCCAACCGAATTTTGTGGAAAAGGGCAGAGGCCCGCGGCCGCAGCAAGTCGCTGCTGTCCAAGGAAATGGACAAGAGAACGTCCAGGCGATGACTCACGAGTCTAGTGAAGGAGACAGAGTCAATGCCCTTCCGCCACGACGCAACAACAACAACAACAACAAGAAGGCGAAATTTGCGTCAACAACGGAAGCCGGACAGCCGAACGAGCCATGGAAGAAGTTCAGCCTCACGGAGGAACAATACAAACTCCACCAGAGGTGGAACTGTTGCTACTGGTGCAACAACACCAAGCACACGACGTCACAATGCCCCGACAAAGGCAAAGAAGACGTTCGTCCACGGCAAAGCTCGGGAAACTTCGCTCCGCGGGAAGTGAGGCGACTCCACTTCCCACTCCGCCGGACACGGTTGCCTTGCAAACAACCTCCTCCACGTCTGGGGAACATGCGTATGTCGCCAGTCTTCGCGAAGAGTATGAAGACTATGCTGTCCAAGTGGTCCCGCCGTTGGACCAACCTCTCCACGTGCAAGACTCATTTGCGTGTGCGACTTCATCACCATCGCCAAGTGAACCAGCATCCTCGCCAACATCACTCGGGGACTCGTCCGTGTGGTCTAGACTTGAGGAACTCGACCCATTGACACCGGAGGACTTCCAATGGTTGCCTCTTCCCCCATCTGGTTCCTTGCCGAAGTCGCATTGCAACGCCTTAATGGCGGAGCTACACAACTACTTGCACGATGCAGTACCAACTCCGTTGATGGAAGACGGAGTAGCGGTTGTTGACCTTCACGAGTACATTGCGAAGATTGACCGCGAGTACGCCACGCAACGGTACGACGACACCGATGCACCGTTACTCTACGTCCGCATTCAGATCGGGAAGGCAACCTGCAGCGCCTTGATTGATTGTGGAGCTACTCACAACTACATCAGCCAGGATTTCATGACCCGCGCCGACCTTGGGCCGCGAGTTAGAAGGAAATCGCAGCCTACGCAGGTCACGTTGACCGACGGTCGTACGCACAAGTCCATCGACCGGTGCATTGACTCCGTCCCCGTGTACTTCGCCCCGCTTGCACGTGAGGCCGTGTCCTTTGACATATTGGACACAAAGTTCGACATGATATTGGGCATGTCATGGTTGCGCAAGGAGGACCACCCGGTGAACTTCTACCACCGCACCGTTCACGTTCGTGACCGGAACGGAGTACTTGTGCCATGTACAGTCCCCCCACCTCATCCTTCGATTGGTTGTCACGTGGTCTCCGAGGCGAGCATTCGCAACTCCATCGCACGGAACGACGTGGAGGAAATGGGCATTTGTTTCTTGCACGCCCTCCCTCCCCCCGACGAGCCAGCGGTGGAACAGCCACCGGATCCACGCATTGTACAACTTATTGACTCCTATGGCGACGTCTTTGAAGCCCCCGGCGGAATCGTACCAAATCGGCCAATTCGTCACGAGATCATCCTCGAAGACAGGGCCGTACCTCCGCGCGGATGTATTTACCGCATGAGCAAGGAGGAACTCGAAGTGCTTCGAACGCAACTGGATGACAAGGGCTGGATTCGCACTAGCTGCTCGCCCTACGGTGCACCTGTTCTCTTCGTTCGGAAGAAGAACAAGGAGCTGCGCTTATGCATTGACTATCACAAGCTTAATGCTCAAACCATTAAGAATGTCAGCCCGCTTCCACGCATCGACGATCTTCTCAAACGTTTGGGCGGCGCCAAGTATTTCTCCAAGTTGGACCTCAAATCCGGTTACCACCAGCTCGAGATCCATCCAAGAGATAGGTACAAAACTGCGTTCAAGACACGGTACGGGCACTTCGAGTGGGTCGTAATGCCATTTGGCCTCACGAATGCCCCGGCCTCCTTCCAAGCGGCAATGACAACGGAGTTTCGCGACATGTTGGACCGGTTCGTGCTCATCTACCTCGATGACATCTTGGTGTATAGCCGAACTTTGGACGAGCACATCGTGCATCTACGTGCTGTTTTGGACAGGCTTCGTACGGCCAAGTACAAGGCCAACCGAGCCAAGTGCGAATTCGCACAGCAAGAGCTCTAGTACTTGGGCCACTTTGTGACGCCGCAAGGCATCCGCCTGCTTGCGGACAAGATCAAGGTCATTCAGGATTGGTCGGAACCGACCAACACCACGGAGGTTCGCTCTTTCATGGGATTGGCCGGGTACTACCAAAGCTTCATCGGAGGATACGCATGGATCGCCGCACCTTTGTCCAGATTGCAGTCTCCACAGGTGCCCTTCCACTTCACCGATGAAGTCCGCAGTTCATTCCACAAATTGAAGACGGCGCTGCTCCTCGCCCCCGTCTTGAGTATCTACGATCCCACCTCGCCTACGAGAGTGACTACGGACGCTTCGGGCTACGGCATGGGTGCAGTTTTGGAACAACACGACGGAGTAGATTGGCATCTGGTTGAGTACTTCAGCCAAAAGGTGCCTCCCATCAACTCGGTTGATGATGCGCGGAAGAAGGAGTTGTTCGCGTTCGTCACGGTACTCAAGCGTTGGCGACACTTCCTCCTCGGGCATCGTAGGTTCACTTGGGTGACGAATAATAACACATTGACCTACTACAAGACGCAAGACACGGTGAGCAGCACGATTGCTCGGTGGATGTACTTCATCGATCAGTTCGACTTCATACCGAAACACATTCCGGGACTCTCCAACCGAGTCGCGGATGCTCTCTCGCGAAGATCAGATCTTTGCACAGTGACTCACCACGCGTTCAGTTTCGACGAAGCTCTACATCAGCATTTTGTGCGAGCATACAAGTCCAATTCGGAATACGGCACGCTCTACGAGCAACTATCCTCGGATCACCCGCCGGCTAGCCATTATCGCATCGTCGATGGCTACCTGCTGCTTCACTCACGAGGCAAGGACTTACTACGCGTCCCACACGACCGTCGCTTACGGACTCGTCTCCTCGGCGAGTACCATGACTCGAGACTCGCCAGCCACCTCGGAGTCAACCGTATGATCGCAAGACTTCGGCAGCGATTCCGGTGGCCTGACCTCATTACCGACGTCACTCGGTATTGCGACTCTTGTGAAGTTTGTCGAAGAAGCAAACCCCGCAATCGCAACCCGTACGGTGAGTTACGCCCGTTGCCGATTCCACGGGCACCCGACCTCTCCATTGCTATGGACTTCACTAGGCCGTTCCCCCGGGACCGCTTCGGGCACGACGACATTCTCACGGTCGTTGACCGTTTGAGCAAGAACGCACGATTTCTTCCCTGCGAGTACCACGCCACGGCTCTGGAACTTGCACGCCTCTTACACACCGGCTGGATTTGTGGCCACGGCGTTCCAGAAGACATCGTCAGCGACCGCGACACTCAGTTCATGTCGGCATTTTGGACCTCTCTCATGAAAGAGTCTGACACCGACATGAAACCAAGTTCGGCTCGGCATCCGCAAACGGACGGGCAGACGGAGCGGGCACATCAAACCGCTCAAGTCATGCTTCGCACACTCATCCGTACGGATCAGAAGGATTGGGTGGACCGCCTCCCCGACATCGAGTTGGCCTACAACACTTCGGTGCACTCGGCGATCGGCGTGACTCCGTTCGAGTTACACCACGGTGGTCGGAAAGGCCGTATCTGTGCTGATCTTCCTTTTCCAAGGACTGCCGACATTGACGCCGCTTGTTCGCCCGCCTCCGTTCGGAAGTATAGGGACTTGCTGGCTAAAGCCCGCGCCAACATGCAAAAGGCTCAAGTCCGCATGCAACAGCAAGCTAACAGGCGTTGCGTGACATGCCCCATCCGCGCCAGCGACCTTGTTTGGGTCTCCACGAAAGAGTTTGCCCTCGAGCAGGATGTATCCCGCAAGCTACTTCTAAAGTGGTTTGGACCATGGTCCGTCACATCAGCTGCGGGTGATGATTCCGATGACCCTTCATTTGTGATCGAAATCCCGTCGCACCTCACGGTGCACCCGGTTTTCCACGCCTCCAAGGTGGCCATATATACACCAGCCAGGAGCGACGACTTCCCGGGACGACGATCACGGGACCCTCCTTCCATGGATGGTCATCAGGAAGTCGACCGCGTCATCACGCATCGCAAGCACGACAACAAGCCTATGCAGTACAAAGTCACATTCAAGTGGTGCGACCCCGATGACACGCGATGGATTTCCCGGGCAGCTTTGTGAGCCTCCGCTCCTGACATCTATGCTCATTATTGGAAGAAACGGCTAGCAACGGACGCTGCACAGCCTCCCACCCGGACTTCAGTCCCTCCCTCCACCAGACAGCTTCGCCCTCGCAGGTAAGCTCGGTCTTTCAAGCAGGGGGGAGTGTGGCATACTCCGTACCACACAGGCCCAGCAGAGCCCGACCTGGTAGACTAAGGCTCCGTAGGGGTAGGGCCTGTTTCAGGCCCTGTGTCGTTTCGGCCCCCAGCCTGAAAACGACGGGCCATTTTCAGGCCCTCGCAAGATCGACCTACCCTGAAACTCAGGCACCAGACCGGGGTTTCAGCTCAGGCCTTTAAGGCCTATTTTGTGGAGCATCAACCCCAGGGTCTGGCACGTTTTGGCATAGGCACGAGCATCCTCTCGGACGGGCCAGCACTATATAATGCTGACCCGCCCTGCAGGCTGCAGGGAGTTGACAGGCACTTCACGTGCAGAAGGCAGGAGGCAGTCTTCAAGATCTGGCAGCGACACGCTGGAGGAGTAGCGATAGTAGTAGTCTTCAGCGCTGGGCGCTAGTAGGAGCTGAGAGAGAGAGAGAGAGAGAGAGAGAGAGAGAGAGAGAGAGAGAGAG